TACTTATATAAGATCTGCTGGAATATATTGACTCGCTCAGTGGCATTTGTACATATACACAACTATCACTATTGAAGTTAAATTTGGCATCCCGATGATGATATTATCAGAACCTCGAATTATCTTAGTGCAACAACGTTGAACGGAAGCTACAGTAAATGTAATAATTTAAATAACTTTAATATAAACCTAATTTTCAGCAACATAAATATATAAATAGCGACGGTTTCAACTTATTCTGAAGTAAAAATATTAAATAAAACATTTCACAAAAAAAAAAGTGATTCGAAAATTTATGTTTTTATTAATCTCGTTAATTATACTTTCACTAGTCAATACAGATAATATTCAGCATAAATTATATCGACTTCACAAAAGAGCTTCAACTACAAACTGTCCTGATTTTTATGAATATAATAATTCGACTAATCTGCTAAATGTAATATTTACACCTGGTTCGCTCATTACTGGAGTAGATAATCAGTATAATATTTCCGGGACTGTAGATATAGAAGTCGACGATGCCGAACTTTCGTTTAATCAAGCTTACTACAGTGAAGAGCATAGTGTTTGGGTGCTCGGCGGAATAGTCGATACAACTATCCTTTATAATATCGCCGGTTGTCCAATTTTTCCTGGAACTATCATCAATGCAAATAAATCTCTTCAATTTCCAACCATTGCAGAAGGAATATTTTAGTAATTGTCATTCGAAGTACCTTACAAAGACATATAATGTGCTGTGCACAGTTTGTCCCCTAAATCGTTTTTCCTGCAAATTGCCTTAAATTACAATATGTGTATTGTTACGGTAGCAGTATAGAGAGGCATGATAAGAAAAGGTTTAGAAGCTGGAAAGAGTGATAGTACTTGTCATTTATTTAAAAGCTAACAATAGTATATTGTAACGAATTAAAATTTGGTTCTATATTTTTGTTGATAAATCTCCATTTTAGTGACAATGTCCAATTTTGGTAAATTTATTATTTTTCTTTTGAACACTTCATGGCATATACTAAAATGGGATCGTATAACGCCGGGTGGTTTTTAAGTTATTAATAATAAATTTGTAAAGTCACGTGAGGCATATAAATTACTACCTGGCTTTAGACGATCCCCTAAGATGGTAATGATGGGTTAATCATATGTATGTTACTCAATCGCGTAAACGCGACAGTTGGCTCGTATACGCGGCCATATGAATCTGTTAAAAATAATGTGTTTGCATAATCAAGGAAATGGCTTGAAGTTGGGAGCGTAAACGTTCTAATGGTCGCGTTGACATGCTAACAGTAGCGTAAACGTTCTTAAAATTTAAAATACATTTAAAGACAAAATGTTCCAAGCAATAAAATCATTATTCATTCCACTTCTGATTAAATAAAAGTAAATGCTTATTTGAATATTCCCTTTTGAATTGTCTTTTGAATTCGATTGGTAACTTTTAATAACCCTATCGAGACTCAATTCGACAGGGATGGCAAATGACCTGAAATGACCCAAATGACCCAAATGACAAATGACTAGTCATTTGTCATCTCAAAGCCCAAATGACCTTAGAAGGTCATTTAACATATGTTAGTTAATATTCTAATACCTTTTAACCAATTAGAATTGGCCGCAAAACAAAATTAAATTTTATTAAAAATATAATCAATAATCGTAGCTATATATCAAAATCAAAATGTTACTAAATCAATTAATATTTATGCCTTAAGTAAAACTGTTCAGAATAATAAATTGCATATGTTCTGAAATTTTTGTAAATTGAATAACTTTTTATTAATTCACTTCCACATCTTATGTCTATATAAAAAGATTTTAACATTTTTCATATAAACGTAATATGCGAAAGTGAATTAATAAAAACGTATTCAATTTACATGAAAATTTCAAAATTCACGAAATTTATTATCTCGAACAGCTTTACATAAGGCATAAATATTAATTGGCTTAATACCATTTTAATCGATTAGAGAAGTAATAAAGCTCAGTAACTTTTTATCAGTAATTCAACCAATAAAATTGCTTTATATGCAAATGACTCAAATGACCTAATGACCCAAATGACTTGGTCATTATTTGATGACTTGAGGTCATTTAAATTTTGATCAAATGACCAGGTCATTTGCCATCCCTGCAATTCGATGGACTAAATTGATTTGTAATTTCGATTCGACTTATTAAGACTCGGATTAAATCAGATATTGCAATTCACGTTGGTTAATTGTGGAATTGTAGTAGAGAACAAGACTTACGATCAGTTACCAGACTTTGTTGACCCATCATTTGATAGCATAAATCATAGATATCACCTTAATATATCACCTAATATTTCTGCATAACCATCATCATCACATTCACTATAAATCACCCTATATACCATCACCAAGCATCTAGTATCGGAATTAAACCTTTCGTGACAAATTCTTCTCCTAAACTAGCACTTGAAAGTTATATAGGTCGCTATCAAACTACCCGTCCAAAATCATCCTTATCGTATACCGTTTGAGCCAAATTGGCATATTGTCTACATCGTTCGACAAGCTTTCCCATTCAACGGATCCCGTAGCTCTCCCACAAAAATTGTTCGGAAACGTAATTTTTATCCAATTAGATCGAAGGATCAAGATGTAATGTGAAAATCACGCCTTTTTTTAAAAAAAAACCCCCGCTAATAATTCGAAATTTTGTCTATGAAATCATCTTCTGCGTTCTAACAAAAAAAATTCCTTGCAAAATTTTGTTATAAACCATACCTTACTTTGCCTTAATCCTAACCTTAAAGATG